ACAGGAGCAAGAGGGAGAGAGAGAGAGAGAAAGAGAGAGACAAGGGAAGTGTGTGCAACCGAGTGTGCTTGAGCCAGAATGTTTGAGAACAATCTGAGGGAGTCGAGGGTTGAGGGGTTATACATACACACTTTGCAGCTACACACCTCTCCCATGGGGTAGGGGGGGAGGTGGAAGGATGCGAATGGCGTGCATGTGAGGTTCGTGTACAGATATATATATATATGTGTGTGTGTGTGTGTGGGGGAGGCTTTTTGTGATCGGCTTCCGAGGTGCTAGATGGCATTTAAAGAGAGCCGTAGCTGGCAGCGAGGAGCGCTGGGGGCAGGTTTGTCTCTGCTAATCCTCAGAACGCTCTTGGAAGAAAAGCTCAATCCTGCCATCATTTAACACCACAAATATCCCTCCACTCTCTAGTGTGTCAGTGCAGCAATCAGAGAAGACGATGAAGAAGAAAACTGTCTGCGGAGAGCGACAGTCCGCCCCTTTGTTTCTTCTGTCATAGAGACTTACCAGACAGTTTGTAAAGCAGCTCAGAGGCCATTTTGACTGATATGTCCTGGGAGAAGAGGTCATTTTGGGGGCGGGGCAAAGGATCTGGGAGGTTGACCATTGGTTCCTTCTTCTCACATGCCCCTGAAGTGCTGAAGCCCAGTCGATGAGAGGAGGGTGGGGCCAATTCTAGGGGTGGGTCCACTTCCATAGGCTCCGCCTTCACTATGACGTTCTGGTGGCAAGCTTCTTTGTTATTCTCTGAAAATGCAAATTAAAGTGAATGTTAATCCATTTGCAAACAACCATTATAACACTGATTCTAATTAGCAGTGCATTCTAAGGATAGAGATTTCAAAACACTTCTAAACTTGAGTGTTAAATTTCCACTTCAGGCAAATATATCAAGTAATGAAAGCTTTTTGCAGAAGTGGCCATCGCCATGAGTATATTTGGTAACTGCCTCAATGGTTTGAACATGTCTGACTCGAGACTAGAGTGGTGTCATTTGTGTATGTGATAGTCAGTGGCAGTCCTGAGGCGAAATTGGCATAAGGTGCTCGGATGCCTCCGGATGATCCTTGAAAAAAGTTACTGTTCTGAATGGGAGTAAGAGAAATGGGAGTATGGGAAATGGGAGTAAGAGAAACTGAGCGGCAAAAAACCCCATGAAATTGCCGCAGTAAGTCTGTTTGTCACTTTTGATCAATTTAATGCATTGTTACTGAATAAAAGTATTAATTTTTAAATAAATAAAGAAATACATTTAAAAAAAATACAAAGATCTGACAGACCCAAAAGTGTTGAATGGTAGTGTGTATCCTATTTTTACATTTAGAAAATCTCTGCCATCATCTAACACTTACTTAAAGGGGTCATATGATGCAATTTCATTTTTTCCTTTCTCTTTGGAGTGTTACAAGCTCTTGGTGCATAAAGAAGATCTGTAAAGTTGCAAAGACTAAAGTCTCAAATCCAAAGAGATATTCTTTATAAAAGTTAAGAGTCAGCCACACC